CGGAAGAGAAATCACATCCCTCAGAGCAGGAGTTACAGGCATTTGGCTTGGGCTTGTTATATGAGTGCTTGGATACACATTCCAGTCCTTAAGATTGTATATCAAATGCTTTTAGTCACTGAACCATCATCTTTCTGGCCCACATACTCATTTTTCATCAGTGCTTTTATTATCTCTTTTAAGAAGGTTTTTGGCTGGTGAGATGGCACACATCTGTAATGCTATCACTTTGAAAGCAGGAGGATCAGATATTCAAGATTATGTTCTATCCAGGCTTTGGTAGTGAATGCCTTACATCCCACTACTTGGGAGGCAGAAGCAGGCTGATTTTGAGGCCAGCCTGGTCTACAGAAGGATTTCCAGGACAGGCTCCAAAGCTATACAGAGAAACGCTCTCTTTAAAAATCCCCCCCCAAAAAGGCTATGCTCTAATACATAGGTAGTTCCAGGCCAACCTAGACTAGATACCCTACTGCAAAAAAAATCAGAATAAGAAAGCCATTTGAAGAATCGACCAATAAAATCGAGTTGTCCTTCTAACTATGAGCATCATGAATGTGGGTACAACACTACCTACTGAAATCTTAGGGATAATGTACTGAAGAACTGATAAACATCATATTTCTTATCCTGATTGCACTCTGAATCTCTTAATTCTGTGATTTAAGTATCATAAAGAAATCTGAGCATTGGATAGGTGCTATATTTACCTTCATATTATCTTAGGTTCGCACTGCTCCTTGGAATACTACAAGAGCTTTCATTGCTGCCATGAAAGGCAAATGTCTCCTGGAGGTGACTGGAGTAGCAGATCCCACAGGCTGTGGTGAAGGATTCTCCTATGTGAAGATTCCCAACAAACCAACACAGCAAAAGGTGAGTCTTTGGATTTCTAGAAATCAAAAGAGGAAGGAATGCGGTTTGAGCAGTAGAGATAAATAAGGTAGAAGACATGAAAATGGTTCATTTGCCAGAATGGCATAGATGCTTACTGTTAGAAGTTCAGCTTCAGATTCTCAATTGTTTTTGTTCAAAACAGGATGATAAGGAGCCTCAGCCAGTGAAGAAGACAGTAACAGGAACAGATGCAGACCTTCGTCGCCTGTCTCTGAAAAATGCCAAGCAACTTCTTCGTAAATTTGGTGTGCCTGAGGAAGAGGTGGGTGTAGAAGAGGAAAACTCTGAGTAAGAGGCTTTTTATACAGATAGAAAGGTAGGAAAGAACTACTTGGGGTTTTAAATGTGATGTAGATCACAATAGCTCCTAAATACTTTGCCAAAACTTCTTTTAGGCTTTCTTTTCTTGTCTCTCTCTCGCTCTTTCTTTCCTTTCTTTCTTTCTTTCTTTCTTTCTTTCTTTCTTTCT